AGCTAGCTGCTGAGACCTGGAGGGCGAGTGGGATTTGCTAGGAGAGGGTGGGCACGGAGAGTACCTCAGACAGAGCAGCCCATGAAGAGTCTGGGTTGGGACCAAGCTGGTCCCTTGGGAGAAATGGGAAAAGCTGGCCTGGCTTGGGGACAGAATTCAGAGAGTGGGAGACATCCTCAAAGTTCACCCGATTGCATGGAAGTCACTAAAGGGCGTAAGCAAAAAAAGTGGTAGCACTTACATCTTTAAAACGTCACTCAGGCTGCCGTGCGGGGAAGGACCTGGAGGCGAGGAGTTTGGTTAGGAAGCCTCTGTCGGAGCCAGGGCAGTGATGGCGACGTGTCCTGAGATGGAAGGGGTGGCCACAGGGAGTGTGGCCAGTCAGAGCTGTCCAGTGGCCGCAGGGAGTGTGGCCGGACAGAGCCATCCTGTGATCACAGGGAGTGTGGCCGGACAGAGCTGTCCGGTGGCTGTAGGGAGTGTGGCCGGACAGAGCTGTCCGGTGGCCGTAGGGAGTGTGGCCGGACAGAGCTGTCCGGTGGCCACAGGGAGTGTGGCCGGACAGAGCTGTCCAGTGGCCGCAGGGAGTGTGGCCGGACAGAGCTGTCCAGTGGCCGCAGGGAGTGTGGCCGGACAGAGCTATCCTGGTCGCCATAGAGAGTGTGGCCAGTCAGAGCTGCCCGGGAGACATCAGCAGGACTGGAGTGTGGAGCCGAGGTGTGGGGGGATAGCTAGAGTGACACTGATGTGGATTCGGGGTGGGCACTGCAGTCAAGGGTTCAGGTCTGAATTTGAAAAGCTTGAGATGCCACCCCGATGGCCAAGGGGAAATGTGGGTAGACACACACCCCCTGAAGCTGCAGGTGACTGCTTCCCGTGGAGAGCATCAGCGGCCCCTGGGATGGATGATATCGCCCAGGGAGTAGCCCTAGCCGGTGTGGCTCAGGGGATACAGTGTCAGCCTGTGGACTGAAGGGTCCGGTGTTTGATTCTGGTCAAGAGCATATACTCCAGTTGCCAGCTCCAGTACGGGGCATGCAGGAGGCAGCTGATCAATGATTCTCTCTCATCATTGATGTTTCTATCTCTATCTCCTTCTCCCTTCCTCTCTGAAATCAATAAAAGGAAGGAAGGAAGGAATCTCGCAGGGAGCATGTAGAGAGAGCAGAGTCCTGATGAACTGCCTTTTCAGGTAAGAGACAGAGAAGAAGCTGGACAAACAGCACGGAAGCTCGACGAAGGCAGTGAGTGAGGTGAGGAGGCCGTCAGCCACAGGGAATGATGCTGAGGAGGTGAGTGTGACATGGACAGCACAGAGGAACTGAGTGTGAGCCGTGTGGAATGAATGGAACCTGCCTGGTGGAAGGAGAGGTGACAGAGGGAGGGGTACAGTCAGATCTCCAGTGATGGTGGCTCAAAGGGAAGACTAGAGAGACAGGTAGAGCTGAAGGAGGGGAGGGAGCTAGGACCTCCTGGCTCCTAAAGTTCCACCCAGGCCAGCGTCCTCCGCACCATGAGCCTGGGCTGATCCGAGAGTTCATTCCCTTCCAGCTCGAGAAGACGACCCACATGGGCTCCCCATCGGCCTCAGCTTCCCCTCCTCTGACCTTGACATAGGACCCCATTTCTGGTTCAAACCTCCCTCAGGGAACCTCTTGGGTTGGACTCTATGATCCAAAACTCCCACCATAAAGGTCTCATGTCTTACTGAAAAGCCCCATGTGCCTGGGAGGTCTGAAGGCATGGAGCGCCTCCTGATACTCCGACCTCGACTTGGTTTTTCCAGACCACATGCCCGAGGACTTCCCCAACACACCCCAGCCCCCCTCTAGAACCCTCTCCCACAGTCTCCACTTGGAAGCTCACTCCAGCCCCACCCCTTCCCTGGCATTTGCTGTTTTCGATTCAGAGTCAGTCTTCCTTGCCCAGTGGAATCTCGTCCATTCAAGTCCAGTCCAGTCCTCACGCCTCCAGAGAACCCTGCCCGGTGCCCCAGCCTCTCCAGCATCCCCCCACCTCTCACACTGAGGAGCAGGGAAGCTGCCCACATGTTCCAGAACGTCGGGGGCCCTCGGAAACACGGGTTTGTTGACGGGTGGGATGAGAAAAGCAGCGGCCCCTCCTCACTGACGGATGAGACCCGCGTCTCCACGGCTGCGGCTGCAGGGCTCACGAGACAATTAGTGCTCCCCATCCCGCCGCCACAGAAGCATCAGAGCCAGTTCCATCGCTTGACTTCAAGTTCAAGTGAAGCTCCGACCATCATAATCTTCATCAGCTATTTCAGAACCCTATTCTTGGAAACGTTAAAAATTTAAACCACAAAAGTTCACGTTTTCTATTAAGCCATTAGAGTTTTCTTGCCGTTCTGAGTTGTGGATTTCCTCAAAAAGGCAGCTTTCTAACCCCAGTCCTCTCATCCCGTCATGCTTCGCGCAATAACAAGTGATTGCGCACGGGTGCGGGTTTTTTCCACTCCAGGGGCCGGCGGAAGTGGACATAAAACCCAGCGGACTGCAGCGACGCATGTCATAAGAGCTCCCGTTAAAAAGTTGACACTGGCCAAGTTCTCGGGCATCAGCATTTTGTGGGAATCGGTTCAATCAAATCTGGGCTCCAAGTGGCCTTAAACAGAGCAATTACTGCAGCCACAGGGGGCGGGCGGAATCTGGACACGGACCCAGCATAACGGACTTTCAGACTTCTCGGGGACCGTCCTTGCTCCCCGGCATCAACAACTTGAAAACCAACAACCTTACAACACTGGAAGTAGCAAAAAAACACACACAAAAAACCTTAGAACACTGGAAGGAGGCAAAGCTTTCCCCAGTCCCGAAGGTGAGAACTCTGAGGCCCCTCAGCCCCAGCGCTGGCACCAATTCATGCCCATCAATGTCCTTCCAGCACGGACACACCCTCCCCCCGAGTCCAGGAAGTTCAACCCCCACCTCTGTTTCCATCTCCCTGCCACTTCTCCTGAGGCTGGACACATTTCCTTTTTGGAGAATTCTTCACGTATTTGCCTTTGGTTTGCTTTTTAAAAGAGATTAAGGTAACCAAGAGCCCTGGCTGTGTGGTCCTGGGAACCCCGAGGCTGTTTCTGTCCTGTTCCTCTGGCTCCTCTACTAGGGACCCAGGTTTCGATCACTGCCCCCCTCCCCCATCAAGGTTATACTGCCCTCAGGGCCAGGGCGGGGGGCCGAAGGGAGGGCACCCTTACCCTGTCCGGGCCTTTCTCTGACTTGGTTGGAAAAAACAGGTTTCTAAAAACCAAAATAAAACAAAAACAAAAAAACCAGCTTGAAGAGACACGTATGTTCAAATATAATCATTCTTTTTTAAAAAAAAATATATTTTATTGATTTCTTACAGAGAGGAAGGGAGAGAGATAGAGAGCTAGAAACGTCAATGAGAGAGAAACATCGACCAGCTGTCTCTTGCATACCCCCTGCCGGGGATGTGCCCGCAACCGATGTACATGCCCTTGACCGGAATCGAACCTGGGACCTTTCAGTCCGCAGACCGACGCTCTACCACTGAGCCAAACCGGTTTCGGCCAAATATAATCATTCTTTTTGAGGGCGTGTCTGTTTTTAAAAATGATGTGATTCACCCCAAATGACAGGCTCCCCATTTCTCAGACCCAGCCACCCCTGGGAAGGAGGAGAACGGAGTGTGGGGGCCTGAGGGCCGTGTTCACACACCTTCAGCAGAAACAGCTTTCTCCTGCCCCGAGCTTTTGTGCTGGAAAAGTGCAAACCCTCCTGGGGGAGGACGGAGTGACCTGTCAGCATTCCTTTTAGCACCGCCGACCAGCGGGCTGCCCTGCTGCAGGGAGCCGGCGAGCGGCTGCAGAAGATGGCCTGACCCATATCCACGCTCGCTGGGTGGACCTGGGGATTCTAGAGTTTGGGATTAATAACCGAAATGAGGCTGACTTCCAGAAAAGGGGCTCCCTGTGGGCTGCAAGCTAATTAGGGTGCCCGGACCTGCCCTGGAACAGCAGGAGGAACGCAGGCCCAACCCTGTCAGCCGCTGCGGCCGCACCCGCGCAGAGCCTGCTTCTGAAGGGAGGCTGGCGGGGAATTATGAACATTTAGTAAATAAGAGAGCCCTAGAGGCCACCGCACCAGCCACCGCACCAGCCTGCGGTCCGCCCCTGGTGGCCGGGGAGGCTGGGTCTGCACCTGGCCGCGCACCGGCACCGGCACAGCAGCGGCGCTGCTGAAAGCAGTTGGAGAGCTCCCAGATTCGGAGGAACGGGCCTTCCCGGCGCCGCAATGAGGAAAGTTCTGGAGTAAGTTAAGACTGTGGAGCACCACACGCACAGCGGGCGAACCTGCCAGGGCCGCTGGCACAGGCCCCCAGTCCTGCTCGGCCTGACGCGCCCGGTGTCCCTGCTCCCGCCGCCCAGAACGCCTCCCAAGGGCGCCCGGCCAGACGGCGGTTCTGCCGGGCTGGCCACTCCAGATGGAAATGCCTCCGGCTCCGGCCCGGGGGACCAGGGCGGGATTTCATCAGTCAGAGGAGCACGAGCAGGATCCTCATCCCCGCCAGGGCGCCCGGGACCTGCTTCGCCAAAGGACGCGCGGCACAGCCCATGCGCCCCCGCGCTCCCCTCCGCTCCTCTCTCCACAGGTCCCCCAAACTCTTCCCGGAAAGCCCCCAAACCACAGGCGACGCCCCGAAACCCCCAGGGCGCCGGCCAGCCACCCCCAGCTCTCTCTCGAACACTCCTCGCCGCGTCCTCTGCGCCCCACACCGTCTCCGCGCTCTCGGGGAGCCAGACGCAAACCACGAGGAACTGCTTCGCGAGGAGCCTCCCCGCGCCCGCCCAGTCCCTGAGACAAAAGCGCAGGGAGGGGGAGAGGGAGGGAGCGGGAGGGAGGTGTAGACGGAGGATGGGGAGAGCGGAGAGAAGGAGCTGGAGGAGGTCGGGGTGGGAGCGGAGCCGGGGCCGCAGGGAGACCCGCTCCCGCCCCGCACAGCCGGTCGCTTACATGCCCAGGTCGCTGTAGGTGTTGAAGAACTCCATCTGGTTGCACGCCTGGATCCAGCCCACCACCCAGGTCTCGTGGCGGGGGATGGGGGGCATGACCACGCGCGCCGAGGCTTTGAAGTAGGGGGTCTTGTAGCGCAGGACGATGGGCGAGGTCTCCTCGATGCGCGTGGGGCACTGGTCGATGGTGGCGCACACGTCGTACACCACGATGTTCTCGCGCCGCACCCGCGCCTTGCAGGCGATGCTCTGGACGCAGCCCATCCTGCCGCCCGGCCTGCGCGGCGCGGGGCGCGGGGGCCGCCGGGGGGCCCGTCACGCCGGCTCGGCCACGCGCCTCCCGCGCCCGGGGCGGCTCAGCGCGCGCCTAGGAGCGGGGCGCCGCCGCCGGCCATCCTCCGGGGAAGCCCCCTCCTCCCGCCGCCGCGCGGGGTCCGGGCAGCCCGCCCCCGCCCCGCCACGCCCGCCCCTCGCTCCGGCGGGGCGCGGAGCCTGCGCTCCTAGGCGGGGAGGGGCGCCCCCACCGGCTCCGGCGCCCGCGCGGAGGGCAGGGCAGGGAGCGGCGCTGCGGGGAGGGGCGCCCGCCTCGGGCCGGAGCCCGCCGCCCCTGGCCGGAGAGGCGGCGGCGGCCGCATGGAGCCCGGTTCCTCTGCCGCCGCCGCCGCTGCATGAACCTCTGCACCGCGGCCGCCCCCCGCGAGCAGCGCACCCAGCGGCGGGCGGCCGGCGGCGGCGGCGGCGGCGGAGGCGGGGGATGCGCTCCTCCGGCCCCGCCCGCGGCGGGGGGGGTGGGCGGCGACCCGGGCGGAGGGCCGGCGGGCCGGGCGGCCGGGACGCGATCGCGGAGGAAACTGGCTGCGCGCGGAGTTTTGTCCCTCTCCGGCTGCCGTCCGCGTGGGGGGTGCTGTGCAGGGTGGGGGTGTTTAAAGGGCCTCGGGCGCCCGGCGAGGCCGACACGTGGACCGGGCCTGCAGGGCGGGGCTGCAGTGGGCGGTGCCCGGGCTGGGAGGGGCGTGGGGACCCCGCTGGAAGGGGCTGGGTGGGCGCGGGGGTTTGGGGACCCGGCTGGATGGGGCTGGGTAGGCGGGGGTGGGAGGGGGGAAGGACGGCTAGACGCCTTAGCCGGGCGTGGGGTGGGCGGTGGTGGTCGTGGAGGTGGGGACCCGCCCAGGCAAAGTGAAGGGGGCGTGGGGAACAGGCCGGGGGATTGGGTGGGTGGGAGGGGTGGGGTGGCGGAGAGGGGCGCAGAGCTGTCAGGATTCAAGGTGGGAACCCTCAGTGCACGATGGAGGCAGAGAGGGGTGAGGGGAGCAGCTGTAGCTGAGAGGGGTTCTTTCTGTCATGGAGCGCCCCGTACCCCTCCCTGTAGACGCTGAGGTCGGGCTCCGGCAGAGGTGCTAAGGGCAGCGGACCGAGGGTCTCCCCTGCCGTTGTCTGGGAGCTTTCTTCCCACCGGGGTCTGGGGGGAGGGTACCTAACGCCCAGTCACCGAGATCCCAGCAGTTTCGGTCGGAGCCGGAGCGGCGTCTACTTCCTGCCTGCCTCCACGCAAACCTTCCTGCTGAGAACACGCTCTGCCAGCAGCCGCAGCGCAGACCCAAAGCCGCACGTGGACGCCGGGCTGTGCCCTGCGCGACCCCCTAGCTGCATTGAGGTCACCCCAGGTAACCTGTGACCCGCTGAGAACAAGGGGAACAGCTCTTGTGGGAACAGGACTGGGTTTCCTGCCCAGGATACTCTGAGTGGTTTGTATCCATCTCCCCCAGGAAGCCTGGAATCTCATGGGCCCTGCGTTGTCTCTGCACATGGTGGCGACCACAGTTGTGTGTGTGAACGAATGAGAAGCTAAAGAGCCTCCCTGTAACCCTCTTCCCCCGCCACTGGGCATTGCATTCAGTGTGACATCTTGTGTCTGACATTGTGGTCAAATGCGCAGAAAAAAAATATTTAGCAAATGCTGTTCCTGGGCATCTTTTTACATTTATATTTTCAAAACTAGTAGCTTTTCTGTATTTTATGATTATGAGGCATTCACCGGTGCCCACGAGTGAAACACTCTTAACAGGCCGCAGGAGGCTGCCTAAAGTTCGTCCGTAGCCAGAACAGTTGTGGTAATTTAAACATTGGTGGGGATCTAAGCACTCTTCATCCTTGATTTAATTTTGCTGGCATCTTGATTCACTTTATAATTAACAGAAAAAAGTAGTTTGGCCCTTTGATAACACGCTTCTCTCACTTGACGAGGTAGCCCAGATCTCAGTCGCGTCCCGTTAGTCCAGCAAACGCTGCCTGCCTGGGAGCCGGACGTGTGGAGAGCACCAGGGCTCAGAGGTGACCACAGCCCGGGGATCGCCGGAGACACCCGGTTAACAAGCTGCCCCTATACATTGTGACACGGGCTTTAATAGTGGTGTGTACCCAACCCCATGGGACCCCGACCGGGGAGCCATGGGGTCACACCAGGCTGTGTTGAAGTAGTGACACTCAGAGCAGACCCTCAAGATGCTGACAGAGGCGCACAAAGAAGAGCATGAGAGGACGGTGGGGGCAAGAGTTGGGCAAATGCACAATGCTGGAGATGTGAAGAGAGACGATCATGGTCATGGTGTGGTGTGTAGGGCACAGGCATCAGACCCCGCTTTTTTTTTTTTTAGACCCCGCATCTCGATCCCCTGAGGGAGCCAGTGGATGCAAGGTTAGCATTCTGAGAAAACTTAACTTTGTCAGTGTGGAGACTAGACAACGGGAGCTACCGGCAGTGTGTTGGGATATTGTGATGACAGGTGACCTGGCCCTGAGTGAGGGCAGCGCCCTGGGCTGGAGAAGCCTGGCTGCATTTACGAGGTAAAATCTATTTATTTGGTAACTGATGGGAGATGTTGGGGGGAAGAGTCTGGCCAACTCTGAATTGTCCCAGCGTCAGCAGATAAACTCGATCCGGATGGTCCGGACCAGGAGACAGGAGGGAAGCCGGTGAGAAAGGTGCTATTATGCTAAGTTTGAGGAACTTGGAGGGTGTTTTGTGCAGGGGCCAGAGTTTGCATTTCAGAGGTTATTCGATTCCTGGAAACAGACCATGAGAAAAGCATTCAGTTGGGAGGTTTAGTTATCTTTGTTGATGTGAGTTACTTATCAGTGTGCAATGTTGTGCACAAGTGTTATCCTTTGTCCTCTGGTAGCACAGGCTAAGCTTCATAAACAGGGGCAGCCACGGTCCCCTCCCCCAAATTACCGGACGGTCATATAAAGGAAAATAACTTTTTTTTTTCAAACTTAAATCGAGACCATGCTCTAACAGTAGAGTGCCAGTAAAATCTAACTCATTACTCATGCACTTGAACCCTTGACATTCTCAAAGGCTTCACCCCTGACCTTCACAAGTCTCCAAAACCATGAAAGTCACCATGACATATAACTCCCACTATAAAAAGCAGTAGAGAGTAACTGAAAAAGATGTAAGGGGCTCTTTAATGGTTTTATAACCTATGGGGCCAAGGTAATTTCTAAAACCACTTAAATAAATGTTGCTATTAAAATAAACTCCTTGCTGTATGACATCTGTACCTTATTAACTCTGTAGTTCCCTGACTCCGCAAAGAAAAACAGTCACACCAGCCTGGGAACTACTCCATGGACATCGCCGAGAAGAGCTAAGCTGTGCTGGGACAGGGCTGCCAGGCAGTGGGCGTGGGTGTAGCTCAGTGGCTGGCCTGCACCCTGGCCTCCTGGCAGGCCATTCAGAGTTGTGTCTTAGCAAATTAAACCAAGGCCGAGACCTTTCGGGTTACTCGATGGGGGCTGTTTTCCCCAAGAATATTTGCTCTGCAAATGCCAGCGGGCCTCCGCGTAGAGCTCAGAGGAGAGGACTCCCAGCGGCAGCCATGTCTCAGCGCCACTCCTGTAGCTTATCTTCCTCTCCGGGCTGGACGTCTCCCCATCCCCTCGTAGTGTCTGATCCTGCCTCTGTAGCACTTCCCATGCTGTCCACAGTGGTGGGGTCACACTGGACCCACACGGTAGGCAGTTCACTCTCCAAGGACATGTGTCATGAGGTCCTTTTGTCCAGCCTAATGCCTGGTGCCTAGGAATGAATCAATAAATGTTTGGCCCTAGCCAGTTTGGCTCAGTGGATAGTGTTGGCCTGAGGACTGAAGGGACCTGGGTTTGATTCCGGTCAAGGACACATACCTTGATTGCAGGCTCTTCCCTGGCCTGGACCTTGGTTGGAGCACATGCAGGAGGCAACCAATCAATGTGTTTCTCTCTCATCGATATTTCTCTCTGTCTCTCCTCCTCCCTTTGGCTTTCTCTAAAAATCAATGGGAAAATATCCTAGAGTGAGAATTTAAATAAATAAATAAATAAATAAATAAATGTTTGAATGACTTTATATGAGAAAATAATATTACCCACAACTTAACTCTAAGCTCCATCTCTTTACCTACAACAAGCCTGTGTTTATGTTTATTTTTATTTTTATTTTTATTTTTATATTTTATTGAATTTTTACAGAGAGGAAGGGAGAGGGATAGAGAGCTGGAAACATTGATGAAAGAGAAACATCCATCAGTTGCCTCCGCACACCTCCCACTGGGGATGTGCCTGCAACCAAGGTACATGCCCCAGACCAGAATCGAACCTGGGACCTTTCAGTCCGCAGGCTGACGCTTTATCCACTGAGCCAAAACGGCTGGGGCAAGCCTGTGTTTTGACCCTAGTACTTTTGGCACCGTGCCTCCTCTCCCTCTCCCTGACATGCCTCCTGTGGTTAAGTGGTGCCCTTTGTCTGGAGTCTACCCGCTGTGCCCTCTCCAGGGTTATCTGTTCTGGGCACTGAGAAATGGAAACGCTGCAATGACAAGATCTCGATGACAATCCTTCCTTGTGAGTGACTTCGCCCAAGTTTATTCTCGGGGCACAGCACAGGCGCTCCTTTGTGCTTCGTGCGTTTGATGTCTCCATGCGGACAGAGCCCCTCAGTTCCCAAGCCAGTGCCCGGAGCGCACCCCAGAGGCTGGGCGTGCCCCGCACAGGCTGCTCATTTGGCCTCCCACGACCCCAGGCTTGGTCTTTCCAGAAGCAGGCCATCCCCGGCTTCATTTCTGCTATTGATGGGCTCATTACTCATCAAGTGAGCTTTTCAGAAACTCTGGGTCACCAGGGCCTGCTTTCCAGTTGACCTTGGCAAGGCTTTTCGGAAACTGCAGGGCAGAGGACAAAAGCTGTTGCGGAGTCGCCTGCAGAGCTGTGAGGAATGGAGACAGAGCTCCATCCGCCTCAAATGGTCTGGAGACAGGCAGGAGGGGAAATGAGTCTTTCTGGCCCAAGAGCTCAGGGCTAAGGAAACGACCCTTTTTCCGGTTGTGAGCTTCTCCTGCCACCACTGCAAGCCAGAGTAGCCCTTTCTCTGCCAGGCCAGGCCAGGACATCAGCGTGGATGCACCCCCGCAATGACGTCTCCTTTGCAGAAGGCATTGAACCCAAGACATGGCAACTTCAAGCAGCCGGTCTTCGCTGAGCTTTTCCCACCAGCCTCACATCACATTAGACTCCAGTCTAGAAGCATGCTCGGGTCCCTCACCTGCCCTGCTGACGGTCACCTGGGCAGTCTGAATCCTTTTCTCAGTCCTTATGTGTAGGGTTTGCACCTACGATTCTGCAAATCCCGGTTCTCCTAGCTGCTGGGGCCCTCTCACTCCCCCTCCCCAGGGGCCTCTCCTTCCTGCCTGGTCTCCCTCAGGCCATTCACCTGGGCTATAGGCTTTAG